GGCTCTATAAAAGTATTAATATATTTTATATTTTACTTCTTCATTTTCTATTTTATGTTGACTTGTACATTTACATAATTCAGTTTTATTTCACACACGTCTCCTTGGTTTATTTAGACTTTATTATGACATTTATATTTCTCTTTGTTATTCTGTGATATTGTGTCGTGTGTTTAAGTTTAACACTCAGAGTGTTATATAAAGGCTGAAGTACTTTTACTCCTTCACTGTAATTATATCTAATGAAGCAGGTGGTTTTCAGAGTTATTTTGGTGTTTGCTGCTCGTGTGAAGCTCGTGACGTTTGACTCAATTCAGTCAAAAATAAAATGAAATAATGTGTGAATGAAACAAAACAACTCCACATGTGTGAAGTATGAGTACACACTCACAGTACTACACCTGTACTCACAGTACTACACCTGTACTCACAGTACTACACCTGTACTCACAGTACTACACCTGTATTCTCCACAAAGTACAAACCGCAGTAATCAGGCCTCGTGCACCTGCTCCGTGCACCTGCCCCTCACGCCCCGCCCCTTCCGCCCCTCCCGCACTCACCTGAGTCTTTATCTCCAGGTGCGCGCGGCTTCGCACCGCAGGACCGGAACATGGCGGCGGCGGGGCGCGTGAGGGCAGTCCGGGCGCGTGCGCTGGCTCTGGTCCTGGGTTTTGGCCTGGGCCTGGTCCTGGTCCTGGTCCTGGTTCTAACGGGGTTCAGTCTGGTCTCAGTCCGGAGGAATCACCGGGACTCGGAGGCAGCTGAGCCCGGACACGGCGCGTTCTCCTCGGCCTCGGGCAACAGACCGGCCACGGTGACAGTGTGGAGCTTCGTGCGGGAGACGGGAGCGCGCTCCGGAGGTCAGAGTCGGGTCAGAGTCGGGTCAGAGTCGGGTCAGAGTCGGGTCAGAGTCGGGTCAGAGTCGGTCAGAGTCGGGTCAGAGTCGGGTGGTTCTGGTTCTGGGGTTGGGGCAGAGCCTGGGCGCCGCGCGGAGGCGCGTGGAGCGTTTCCTTTGGCGACACGTGAAACGCGGCGAAGAAGAGTTTGACGGTGACGGTGACGGTGACCAGAGAAGGGCGCTGTTTTTCTGTTTAAATTTTAAGAGTTTAATTTCAGAACAGTTCTCACTCAGAAGAACTTTAGAACCTTCAACACAAAGTTTGTTTGAACACATCAGGCAAATGTGAAAGTGTCATCTGGGTCCCGGGTTTGGGTTTGGGTCGCGTGTTTGTTACTGTTGGTTGTTTTTTTTTCTTTTTTTTTCCAGGTGGAAACTGCTCCTCGGCCTTTGATTGGACAGAGCCCACCTTCCTTTGCAGCCAATCACAGCTCCTCGTTCGCTTCCACATGTCCAGGTTTTCTGCGATCCGATTGGACGGTGAGTGCACACCTGACGGCAGGAGTCCGCCGCCTGTTCTGACATCCCTTCATTACGACACGTCTGTTTAGACGTGCTGCTTTTCCAACACGTTATTTAAATTTTTTGAAAGTTGTGATAGTTTGTTTTAGCTTAGATATTTTCCTGACGGCTGCTCTGTGCTCGTCTTTCCAAATGTGCAAGTTTCCTACGGCTCAGTGATGACATTTTCCCGCTGACTGATTCCTCTGTGGCTGAAGTTTTCTCTGATCAAGGCCCAAGCGTCTTGACGTGTGCGAGTGTTGAAGTGTGAAAGGTTCACACTCCGATTATTCAGGTCGGAAAAATCATAAAGTGCTGCTACTCTGACAAAAACACGTCAGTGTGGAAATCAGAGTCCTGCATGGGTCAGTTTCAGGCCCGCTGCACCCGCCCGCTGCACCCGCCCGCTGCACCCGCCCGCTGCACCCGCCCGCTGCACCCGCCCGCTGCACCCGCCCGCTGCACCCGCCCGCACCTGCACAGTGCAGCACCGCACCTGTTTGCACCCGTTAACATTCCACCCGTTACCCACCAGAAAATCACACACAGATAAATGCTTCAGTTAGAA